CAATCTTAATTTTGATTAATAAAAAGACATTTTAGGAGTTAAACATATCTTCCGAGTAAAAATTATCATTCCATATTTTGCTTCCATTGTTGTTAAAGTACAGAGAGGCGGGTTGATAGACTTATAGACCAGAGTCTATTTTTGAAATTCAATTGTAAACGTAGCATACTATTTTCTAAAGCCCGAGTTTCTGAGGTATTCGAAACTTACGGAAGTTGTGAATTGCATTTTTTTTTCTGGCTTGTCGAGACTTACGGAAGTTGTGAATTGGTGAGTTGTGAATTATTTTTCTGCCTCATCGATGCGAATATAAAGATATAGAATAGATAGTGAACTGGCAATCGGTACTATCTCAATTTAGACAACTTTACAGGATGAAGAAAAATATTGTTTGCGTCAATTGTATAGCATTTCATTTATGAAATAAAAATACGTATTTTTAAATATTTTTAATTCACATACACTACGTATTTTTATACCAGATGCTATATAAATTACGCAAACAATGTTTTCTTCATAGTGTTAAGTTGTCAAAATTGAGATAACACCGGTTGCCAGTTCACAGTCGATATCTAAAAGGTAATCTTTAATTGCAGTACCGAATTGACAAGCGAGAAAATTATGACGTATTAATACGTTACAAAAGTTGATAATACAATTCTCGACTTCCGCAAGTCTCGAATGGCTCTGAAAGTTGAATTTTATAAAATGCTATATATTCACTATGGAATCTTAAAAATAGATTGTCAACAGTTATTTTGCATTAGTCTAAGTTTTAGAACTTTTGACGTGACATGAAAGAAACACGAAATTGATTTTAAGACTTTAATGATTATTCATTAAATGGTTATCACTAATTACAGGTCTCCTTTCACAGCATGAGTTATTTTTATTTTCCCGATGTTTGAGAACGGTTATACGCTCCATGGTCACGGGTGGACCGGCCAACGTCACCTGACAGGTTTAAGAAACTACATATCTGTCTATAAGACACATAACAGCGCAAAAGGGTAGACATTATATGTTTGTTCTTAAAGCCATCTGCAGCTAGGTAATCAACCCGTGACTATAAAGTGTGTAATCGTTTCGAAATATCGGGAAAATAGAAACAACTCATACCGTGGTAGAAACCCGTTTAAATACAGGTTTTTACAGCTTTTAGTATGGAATATGAGTCTATCACTTTTGTTACTTAGCCATCTCTCTACTTTTAAGTATAATCTTTCCAGTAAGTACGAATCCAATGTGCATTTAAGATCTCATCATTCCTAAATTGCTTTAAATAAACACATTGTCACTGTTCCCTCGTTTACCTTGAGACCATCATGCTCAATTTTTGTTAAAGTATAAAAAAAACGTCACGTTTTACGTATTATTTTGTAATATATTTTTTAATTTAGTATTTTTTACTAAATAAGTTTATGAAACTTCTGCCGATGTCGTGAAACTTCGCCTACATTGTAAATATTTTTTATTTCATTTTTTAAATATTTAATTAAATGAAAATGATCTTCGTAGGTTTATTTAGGTTTTTTTGTAGTTGTAAGTTTCTCTGTGTCATCAATATGTGCCAATGAGCCAAATTGAAGGAAAAAAACACTCAATTTTACCTATTCATACATTGTCAACAAATTTAAATGTAGTGATAATTCGCGTAATTGATAGATCGGTAGACGTAAATTAGGGTACAAAACCGTGCTTCCTTATATGCATTCTTAATATAATATAAATAAAAGCTATAATATTGTAAGATCAGAAATTTTAAGGGACCATTACTTCGGATTAGAGTACAAATTTTTCTCTTTAAAAAATTATTCAACATGTAATATCAAATATTTTTTTTTGAATTACTAAAAAGAAAAATTAAAAAAAATTTGGGGCCGCCATAAATTAGGAATTTAGTTATAACAAAATTTTCTTATAACTTTAATAAAGCATACGACGTTACGTACCTAAAATTTTAATCAATAAGTTTCAAGTAAGTAATGCATGTAAAATCGGCACAATGTTTTCAAAATCCATGATATTCATACTTCCTTGTGCCTTTAAACAGTAGAGTTAAGATATAGGGAACATTGTTTGTAAAGCTTCAACTTTTAGCTCTGATGATCGACTAGAGAATTAAGTTTGTAAATACATTCTATCATTATCGTAATGAAATGCATTTCTTTGTAAGATTCTAAAGTTTTGAGGAGAAATTTTAAATATTTTCCCCGTAACTGACAATAAAGGAATAAATTTAATTATTTTTTTTTTTCACTTTAGATACATGTTATCACAGAATTTCGACCCGAAACCCAATACTAGTAATGGTTTGACGTGTATTTTTTAAATAAATCAATAGTTATAGGATCGATGACCATCCAGACATAATGCCTGTACATAACCCCGAATGCTACTTCCATCGTCATTGTCAATATTGCCATTTAATTTTTTATTTTATGTACCGCAGTCAAATCGATAACTATTTCCCAAAAAAAAGGCAATTTTTGGATTCCTACAATGTAATACAATTATAAATTAGTTATCGTTGTCAATTTAATGTTAACGATAATAAGAATAAAATATACCAACGGATTTTTATCGGATATTACAATGTTTGACGTAACTTCACTTATGCCATTCTTCCATGAAGGGTGCGAAATAACGTTCGAGAAATCGCGTAGTTGAACGTGTCATTATGTTTTTTTTTTCATCGAATGAAAAAGTTAGGTGTAACGAAGATGCACCACAGTCCATCGTCAAGTTCGAATTTGAAAAACCTTTTCTTTGAATGACTTTGAAACCTTTTGAATGAATGAATGAAATGAAAATTCTAATAAGAAAGACACTCCTTTCCGAGCTAGTGAGGTGAAAATAGAATTTCATTCATTCAATTTATAGAATTTTGGTTGAAATATAATGTTCCCTTTTTGTGTTTAAATAAAGGTAACCCGAAAATTTGTATGATTCCACAATGGTAAGTAAATTTCAAGTTTTCGTTGTACTGACCACAAAAGCAACATTTTAGCCGAAAAATAAAGTGTTCATGTTTTTATTTTACAACCCATTATAAAATGACATCGATAACCCAGAAACAAAAACCATGTTACATGGTATAATTAAAGATATTTTTTTTTCAACTACCGTCATATTATGGCTATTGGTTTTTATATAATGATTGTTTTCTTCCCTATCTATACAAGAACGTTTCATAAATATTTATATCGTTTATAGTTAAGTGTCCATTTAATTTACTTCTTATATTTGTTTTGTGTTTTTCTTTCTTGGTTCAAATTCACTATTTCTTTGAAATTTTCTATCAGTGACTCGTTTGTGACTATGTGAATGTTTTAGTGTTTCTTGTTTTTTAAATCGAACAGAATAAATATTTATAAGATCGTGGAAACAAGTAAGTTTATATTTCCTTATTAATCTATCTGGCGGGTGGCAGTAAAAATACCCATAAACAACTGGGTTGTTATTCCAGAAATTATTATTAGGAAATAAGTCCCAATTTATAAAAAATATATTTATTTTAAAAGAACAAAATTACAATTGAAGTCGTAGGGCACACTCCCCTGGAAGAATAAGAATTTGAGACGCAGTAGAGCTTTTTGTGAAAGAGTTCATCCAGGGAACTAGTGCCACCTTACCTACTTCTGCCGCCAAGCAGCAATTTGAGCGTTACTACTTTCCAGTTTTGAAGAATAGAGGTGCTGGTGAAATTACAGGCACATGGGACTTGTCAACTCAAGTCGAAAGGTGAAGGGCGCAGTGCCGGTACCCATCAGATCTTTGCGCTTTAAAGCTCAGAGTGGCGTTGCAACTGTTATGGACAGGCGTGTCGCTTATCGCCAGACTCACGACTTGTTCGTAATAAAAACAAATAGAAGTTCTAGGAAATGGAAATTAAACTATTAAATATGGTCATTGGTCAGCCATGACATGGCCATGACCTATTTGATTAGGTATTTGTTCACATAAATTTGTTATTATATTTAATTCGATATATTCATCACTCCCTTACATTTTTACCATCTAAGTATAGAGAAGCTATATTTTATACAAAAGTATAACTTCTCCATACTTTCTTTTCACCATGGTTTTGGCCTTCGTGAATGGTAATTTTGTAGAAATACAACAGCGTTTTCAAAATCTTATTTTAGGATCTTATAAGTTGCCCCGTACATGAATTTGTGACTTTATGGAGACAACTGTCAATAAAAATACATAACTTTGTAGAAAAAAACCGACCTGAAAAGTACGTGGAATTACATCTAATTGCCAAGTTTTATTGAAATCGGTTATCGGAAAGTGCGCGCAACCTTACTCATCCCCTAGTTTGCCACCCTTGAAGGTGGAATATTTTCTTCAAATTTAAATGAGACCACTCCTGAGGTACCCCCTTTCCAACAAAACTAGAATCATCAAAATCGGTTCACAAATTTTGGAGTTATCTCGTAACAAACTTACAAAAAAAAAACAATCGAATTGAGAACCTAAAGAAAAAGTCGGTTAAGAAATTTGTGCGTTGCGTTACAAAGTTGATTACATTACGCAAGGAAATAGTCTCGTATTAATAATGCGTGTATGAATAGTGATTCATTTTTCATGATAAAAATTAAAAATTTCAATTTATTTCATGTACTTTGTATTAATGGAAATAAAAATGTATAATAAATTAAACGATCAATTAAAAAATGAACGACGTGATAAAATTTTGTATAAAGTTCTAAAGCAATTTCTGCTAAATAAATGTTTTTGCTCCTTGGAAGAATATTTTAATGATTGGATATTATTGTATTTAATAAAATTAATAGGTTAGTAGGTAATTATATTGAATAATTATATTAGATTAAAACTTCGGTCTGTATGTCTTCATACATTGCCACGCCCTTCTGGGTTTCATATGTTTGATGCCTGTACATAGAATATTACATGTGAATTGCAATAAAGAAAATGAATGAATGAATGAATGAATTATTTTCATGACTGTCGTGTGCTAAAACCACTTTTGATGTATAATTACATCTGGCTTTATTATATCTAGGAAGGTACGATGTACGAGGGTTATTTCCAATTACAACGTGAAACCTCACAACTTTATATTAGTTTGTCATCATAAATTTTGTGTAAAATCTACAAAACCTCCAGCCAGTGGCCGAAGTGTACCCCCGTGGCGATATCACTCTCAGCTGGGTGGCTGCCGCGGCCGCCATGCTCGTGGTCACCGCGACAACCATCGCCGGCAACGCCGTGGTGCTTGTGGCGGTGTGGCGTGCGCGACGTGCGCCCGCGCATTATCCGTTGGCCAGCCTGGCTGCGGCCGATTTATTAGTCGGATTGTCAGTCCTGCCCGTAGCCGCTGCGAGGGAGCTTATCGTTTTTAATTTACGCAAGTATCAATTGGGTTATAAAATTATAATCACTCGTTTAAACGTCGAAAAAAAAAACATTGTGCCCATCCATACATATAGGAGAGAAGTCACAAAATGTTGTATGATTCAGGGTCAACCGTGACCATGGGACCTTTAAATGGACCGAAACGTTGGTTTGTTTGAAAAAAAAAACAAATATGTCTATATTATAAGTATATTATAATGGCTTAATACAACAACACAACACCACACAAAAAACAGTTCATATACAAATAATTATTTGACATATAATTACAATTAAAATTAAAATAAACATACATAGTAGTTAGTCCGGTATGGTCTGTGTTACAGCGTCTAGTCATGCCAACACGGGACTTAACTCAGCATGTGCTGCAGTAACATACCACAAATACGTGATTTAGATTCGAAAAAATAGTTTCATTTCCATATATATGTACTTGATTATGTACTAGCATGAAACTTTGGGAGTAGACCCTTCGTTGAACAGGAAGCGGAAGTAAGAAAAAATAAAGGAAGTAGGTAGGCATATTTATTAGTTTACCACTAATAACATCGCAAAAGAAAAAAAAGAAAAACATAATGAAATCTTTCAAACGTAAAATATAATTAAATTATTACAAAATAAAAAATAAAAATAAAATTAAAACACAACTATTCACATAAAAAAAGGACACTTACTGTAAAAATACTTTATGTGGTGCCAGCTGCGGTAACAAGAGGGTCTAACTCAGTATTTGCTAAATAAATAAATATTAGACAACATCACATACATTGCCCTGATCCCAAAGTAAGTAACTAAAGAACTTGTATTATGGAAACCGCAAACACTTAGACCCAAGACAATATAGAAAAGTTAAGTTTCTGCATTGACCCGGCCCGGAGTCGATCCCAGGACACAGAGATGGCGACACCATGAGAACCGGAACAAGCCACTCGACTACGAAGGTTGATAAAAAAACGCGCAATATTCTCATATTAATTCTAAAATCTTATTATTAACCGTATTTAAGGAACTGAGGCCCGGCGCCAACAGTGGAGGGACTGCTCGGCAGGGAATCCTTCGGCATTCCTACATGCAAGCGTACACTGACGGCAATTATGCCGCGGTGTCCTTAACAAGCCGCGGAATCTCTTATGTACGACGCGGCGTCCTTAAGCATGCTGACGTATCCTTAGGCATGCGGAAGCATTCCGTTGCGACATCTTGCTCGTTGTTGAAGAAGTCGTCCCATGGCTTTTCGCCTCGCATACGTAAATATTTATAAAGTAACGTTTAATTTCCCAGCGTGGGCGTTGTGCGCTTGCTGGAGCACGCTGGACGTGCTCTGCTGCACGGCATCGATTCTGTCCATATGCGCGTTGGGCTGGGAGCGCTGGTATGGCATTACCGCGCCGCTTGCCCGAGCTAGAAGAAATCGACGTGCTAAGGTCGTGTATAGTAAATTTATTCTTTCTTGGTTACTCAAGTTGTGCATTTACAACAAGTGCTTCAGTTTACTACTACTGTCTGTTGGAAGGATTTTTATTATGACAAACTAGAGGAGGAATTTCACTAAAAATAAATTAATATCATGGTAGTAGAACATCATAACATTTTTTACAATTTATACAGCGACGTCTCTTGTCAACCTCTGGTAGCTGTAAAGATATCTCACAGATTTCTCACAGATGGCGCTACGGTATAAATCCATTATAACAAAAAATATCGATCTTTGATATTTCAAACCAAATATGACCACGGTAAAAAGGGTGGTTAGCTAGACGAGGAATTCTCGGATGCAATTCCCTATAGAATCAATATCAAAGTAAGGAAATTTTCCTTGTAATAAAATTAAAAAAAAAACACTTGTCTGTCACTTTTACAATTCGTGAATATTTTAGGTATCAGCGCTGCTTGTGTGGCCGGTTTCGACTGTAATTGCTCTACCAGCTGCGTTTATACCTTCGCCAAGGCACTACTTTCTTGGAGAGGCGCCCAAGGCCTGCACCGTTAACACCAATGTCGGGTATGTTACATATAGTTCCCGTTAACTGTACTTTTAACATATTTCATAACTGTAAATAATTAATGTCTTAGCAGACAAAATTATTAATTAATTTAGTTATAGTCAGTTATAGTCAGTGTCGTTACAGGGTTCCTGTGCTGGAAACTTTTGTTTTCAAAGACTTTGAGTCAAATAATCTTTATTTCATAGGCATTTCGTAGGTAAGCAAATTACACTTGAAATCGTCATACTGATTAACTCTACTGCTCATTCGTAACAGATTTTCCTGAGAAGAATGAGCAAGAAGCTCTAGGGGCTGCTCTTTGTTAATATACATTTCAATACATTTATCATTACAATATTTAATTTAAACATCTTATAGACCACCTGCAAGAGCTAAACGGGTCACTACCACGGATTTTTGTCATTCAAGTACGCAGAAGCTGCATAAATAACCTTTCGTAAAAAGGTTTTGTTTCACAATAGTTTTAAATTTCTTAACTGGCATATTTTGAATATCAATCGGAATCTTATTACAGAAGCGTATAGATTGCTCCATAAATGAATTTGAGACTTTATAAATACGACTGTCAAGAGCAGTTAGTTTATTTTTATTCCTCGAATTAATGTTATGTCTGTCACTATTTAAAAAAAAAATTCCTAACATGAATAACATTTTCATATATGTACTGTGGCATTAGGTTTTATGTAACTCCTTTGGCAATCCACATGAAACAATGAGTAAATTAATTATGAATTATGAAAGTAAATTTACCTTTCCAAATAAAGAAAAAAACAATACCAAGTCAGCTAAACCTAATTATGTGTCGTAGCTATTTTCAAAAGAGCCTGAAAAAACCTTTGTCGATGATTTTATTGCAGCTACGTCTTCGCCAGCGTATCCTTCTCGTTCTACATTCCGGCAACGATCATGATGTACCTTTACGCTTACATCCTTCGGTCTCTAGCAGTGCCCATACCGATTCGAGCCCATAGAGGACCTACGTCCAGTAAACAGGTGGTAAGCGTATATTAACTGACTGGTAGCGAATTGTGTACAAGTATAAATTCCTTCCTTCCTTCTTTTATTCATATAATTCCAGTACCACCTCTCTCTCTAGACAGCATGTAAAGTTAGTATCGTCTTCGAAAGGAGAGGCTCTCATGAAGAAGTTTCATTTTGCTGCTATTCAGTCTGATTTGATTAATGGCATGAGGTCAATGGAGAGAGCGATGCTCGGTATTTCCCTACGTGATAGAATCAGAAATGACGAAATCCGTAGGAGAACCAAGGTAACCGACATAGCTCGAAGAATTGCTCAGCTGAAGTGGCAGTGGGCGGGGCACATAGCTAGGACAACCGGTGGCCGTTGGGGCGGAAAGGTTCGCTCAGTGGGTAGGCCCCCCACCAGGTGGACCGACGATCTGGTAAAGGTCGCGGGAAACCGATGGATGCGGGCAGCGCAGGACCTAACGTCGTGGAGATCGTTGGAGGAGGCCTATGCCCAGCAGTGGGCGTTGTATGGCTGAATGATGAGTCTGATTCTTTCCTATACCACGTCGATCTGGTGGAAGCATCTTCATTCACGTAGTTTCGCTTATGTACTCCGCTCTTCTCTGTCCGCTTAGTTCAAAATTGTAATATTCTGTTATACTGCGTTATTTGTATAACAATAAAAAATATATTTGTATAACAATAAAAAAATATATACCCTGCCTTTGTAGGCAGGGTATATATTTTTTCCTGACTCGGTTCTTCTTGCAGGCAAATAACAATGCGCAAAACCAAAAGGAAATGGCAATGGCTACCCCGATACCGAAGCAGAAAACTTCAACAGTTCAGAAATTAACCACGTAAGTGCTCATTATCACTTCATTAAATAAGTGGGATAAGCTAAGCGGTAAGGGGAGCTTTACTGTGGTCCGATTTTTAACGGTAAGGGTACTGGATAAATCACAGGCACTTGAGACTTGTCAACTTATAACTGTCAGCTCAGAGCGGCACTACAACTGTTATGGACAGGCGTGGAGTCCGGGGAGGCTCGAGGTTAATGTTCCCACGAGCCCCCTCAACACCCCAGGCTTCCACCAAGGTTCGCGCGCTAAAGAGTGGGGAATCGATACATTGTGTTGACTATCCATTCTAAATAAATACGCAGTAAGGGCCGGGCACTGGTGTGGGACGCCACACTTGCCCCATCCCATCTCCAGTACAACAGCAAGAGGGCTGGCTCCGCAGCTGAACTGTAATAAGTACTAGGATCCCGGCTCCGACTACCTATTTACAGCCTTTGGAGTCGAAACCCTTGGCCCGATTGGATTGGACTTGGATGGAAAATTAATAGACTGTCTGGGAAACCCAAGGGCCGGCAGATACCTTGCTCAACGCTTTAGCATAGCCAAACAATTTTATTCATATAATTTAAAACTCCTAGCTTTACTTTCTAGTATCAGCTTTTATTATACCTTACCTGTATGTTATCAAAATAAAAATATCATAATAATACTTATTAAGTAGTGAAGAAAACTGATATCATTTGTAAGAAATAGTGAAATAAATTTCTGTATGAATTTTTCAGATTTATGACCCCAAAGCGCAATCATTTAGCAGTTCCTAATGCGCCAGGACAGGAACATATACCGTCACCATTGAAAACTTCAAATTCACCGTAAGTACCTCGTAGTGAGGTAACCAGACCATTACTGTACCATTTGTAGAGCTCCTTGTGAAAGAAGTCATTCTCCCTACCTATTTCTGCCGTCAAGCAGCAATGTGAACACTATTGTGTTCCGCTTTTGAAAGGTACGGTTAATTGGTTAAATTGCAGGGAAATGGTATTTGTCAGCTTATGTCTCAAGGTGACGCGCGCAGTGCGGTCCCTCTCAGATCTTTACAATACAATACAATACAAATAAATATCCTTTGTTGTGTGTTATTTACATTGACTTACAATTATATGGACGTCGGGTCTGCGCTAAAAAGTGTCCGAACTTATAGGGCGTTAAAATCGTATACAGAGCGTCATTCACAGTTTAGTCTTCGTTTGTTCGACTGACAGCGAAGCAAGCAAAATTAGACAGTACTGCGATGACATTACAATTTAAATTCAACGTTTTAGCTTTTTCATATTCCTTTACATGTCACTACGTTTAAATAGGTTGACTTGGGACATTTTTTCGTGGTTTTTGTATTAGACCCGTCGTCCATTTATTTGTAAGTCAATGGTTATTTATGTCAAAACATAAATAACGTGTTCATCTTCTCTGTTCTGTATTAGAGGAGGAATAATCCCTCGACAACGCAGAGCCACCCGCACGATTGTAATGCTGATGTCTCTGTTCCTCATTTGCTGGACGCCTTTCTTCGTCATGTTGCCTGTTGGTGAGAGTGATAAAACTAACTACATATGACATAATAACGTTATAAAGAGAATTTTTACTTTATGCTCCAGTAAATTCTGAGTATTACATACCTCTATAGCTAACATTGTACTTGATCGCTATAATCTTGTTTATATTTGTGAAACTTTGGATCTAAATTATTGTTAGTGATGTTTTGTATCAAATTCACTTTTTATTTTCATTATTAACTGGCTTCTTGATTCGACGATCCTTTTTTTTGTTAAATAAGCATTGACTTACAATTATATGGACGCCGGGTCCGCGCTAAAAAGTGTCCGAACTTATAGGGCGTTAAAATCGTATACAGAGCGTCATTCACGCCTTAGTCTTCATTTGTTCGATTGACAGCGAAGAAAGCAAAATTAGACAGTACTGCGATGACATTACAATTTAAATTCAACGTTTTAGCTTTTTCATATTCCTTTACATGTCACTACGTTTAAATAGGTTGACTTGGGACATTTTTTTCGTGGTTTTTGTATTAGACCCGTCGTCCATTTTTTTGTAAGTCAATGTAAATAAGTAACTAAGTAGTGGTGCCATTCGAATTTAAAGAAAATATTCCACAAATTAGGAGTTTCTTAATTCTTTGTTTTTTTCAACTGATGTTCAGTTAATAAATTGTAATTTAGTGCGTATTGTGTACTGCATCCGATTCTTTTTCTTTCTGAATCTGAGAACAAATCTAAAAAACCCGGACCCACTTCGGATGTCGCTTGTGCACTAAGTCTTATTCGAATCCGAGAAAATACGGATATCACTGGTGCACCAAGAAATAAAATGATCTCTGTGACATTTCGGATCGTCATTTCTCGGATTGGGAGCTAATATGAATTGGAGGTTGTATGCAAGGCGCAAACGTTCCTAGAAGTGGAATATTTTTCTTAAATTTGAATGGGACTTTACCTACTGAGGTACACTTCTTCTCTTGAAGTGGGTTAGAAAAATACAAAATGAAACTAATAAATATTATATCATATCAAACACTGTGTCATCTTTAGTAGATAGTAGTCAAATGCCATACTTGACTGTTGCCACCAACGTTATTTTCTTTTTAATGTAATTTTATCACCCCCCAAAAATGTTACTTATTGTTTTGAGTGATAGGTACCTTTAGGTACCTATATATTCGTCTGTTTAAAGGTAAAACCACATTAGTGACATGTACCACTAAAAATCTTTAATTTATATAGCTTTGGTAAGAAAATCACTATCTTTCTGCACGTGAAACTCAATAACGAAAAAGCTATAAACTTAATGAAAGTTTTATCTGTAGAAAGACGGTGAATTTCTTACAACTGGTACATAATTTTGGAATTTTTTGTCGAAAATGTCACTTATGTGGTTTTACGTTTAAGCAGACAAAGGTACATCACCTATCACTCAGAACAATAGGTAACATTTTTGGGGGGTGATAAAATTACATAAAAAAGAAAATAATGTAGGTGGCAACAGTCAAATATAGCATTTGACTAGTACCGAAGATGACACAGTGTTTGTTAGAAAATCCTGATTCCAATTATTGCAGATTCCCTCTGCGAGTGCGTGCGTGACGTAGCCTGGCAATGGTGTACATGGCTTGGGTACGCGAACTCCTCTCTCAACCCCCTGGTCTATGCAGCAGCCTCCCCTAGCGTCAGACGGGCGATACGAGCCTCCCTCACGACTAGCAGCTCTTCAAGAACCACTGACGTCAATACGAGGACTGACGTGCCGATGATTTCTAGGAGAATTTAAAAAGGTATGACTTCCGTGAGCCTCTTGGGATACCTTACGTGCATTGCTTTAGGTACTATAGAGTTGTGGTGTTATTCTTATAAAGTGTTATTTGTATATCAAGTATACTTAAATACAGTGTGATATAAATATCACTGTCCATTTTTTTCCTGTGCATAACATTTAGTAATAGAACACATTAGTGAAATAAAAAAAAGCCCATTTTTTTATGTTAATATTTCCCAACAATTTCTAACGCGTGGTTACCTCAAAATAGTAAATAAAATTAAACGATCGGTACCAAGTTGTCTAGACGCCTAGGCGCCAGCACGTCTTGTCGCGCGACGACAGGCCTGCGCTAATTCATCGCGCGCGTTAGTGTAATACTTGGTTGTCTGTAAAATACATAAACTCGAGCGCTGACTCCGCTAACTGCCCCACACCGTTTTCGTTGCTATAGCAACGGCGACAGACGCTGATATATAAAACTTGGAGACGTAACTTATTTATTTGTTAAGTATTTGAAAAAAAACCCGCACATGTATTTTTATTCCCATTATACAGTAGGCTCCTTTAAAATGACGCATGCGCCGCGTCGACGGTGAATCGGCAAATGTGGTTAAAAACACGATCGCACAAAGACGACTCCGCGTTAAATAAGTTTGTTGACAACAAAAAAAATCCACTTTACATATACACACACAGACAAAAGATTGTGTCGGAGCTTAAAATTATGGTTTAACATTAAAGATACACTCCGATGGTAATTTGTAGTTCAGAGTGGTTACATTCGGTGACTCTTAGCAGCGATGTCAACGCGATGCAAACGACGCAAAACAAAACAATGTGCATAAACCTATACAGATTTGTCGTATTTATAATTCACCATAAGCACCTGTACGCGATGCAATGCAATTTGTATCGATGCAGTCGCGCCTTTGTATCGATGCAATCGCCTATGAACTGTAAGTGCAGCGATGCAGTTTCGTGTAGTGTGTAACCATTCTAAGTGTCGTATTCCAGAACTCTACTCAATGCTCAAGTCAGGATTGCACTGGAAACACAAGCACTGGAAATACGACCCTAATGGCATGGACTTGAGTGTGATTTCGAGTGCTTTAAACCATACTCAAATCCTGACTTGAGCATTGAGTAGAGTTCCAGAATACGACCCTAATTTACACTTTAGATCCTTTAGGGTATTAAAAGTTAAACAACTTTTTATTCCTATTTAAGTAAATAGGTAAATTTTATTTAAACACATTCATATTAATATGTGTACATTTCTTTGGTATGACAACTACCCATTTACGATAAGTTTTACAATAAAATTATTATGTTCAAAAACAGTTCAATAATAAAAATTGCACATGGAAAATACTGTTCAAAGAATGTAAGATAAAAATGGAAATTATTTAAGTTAAGATTAAATTAAATTAACAACAACAAATAACAATTTTAAATTATTTACAACTTAAAATAAAATTTGAAATAATCTACAACATAACAACGACCTATAACTAGCTTGTGCAAGATATGTAATTCTACATCATTTATCGTGGAATTGAATAACATTTGACACTGACTTGTACCATGGGACTAGGTACTCACTATATTATTATAATACGAAGAAACAACTACATTTTTTTTACGATTAAATATTTCGAACGTATTTTTGAATTATGCCATTCGACCACTAAATTTGCCGATTCGGCCTGTATTTTGATTATCATTATAATGATTATGTTATCACGTTTATATATTTGAGAAAAAGTTATTAACTACTCGTATATTATTGGTTTTAGGATCACCTGGTCTGAACTGGCTTCACAAAAATTCTTCGTACAACAAAACGTGTTGGAAATATAGGCGTAACACCACAGCCGCTTTATGTTATAGGTTTATAAGCCAACTTATCTCGTGGTAATGAGTTGGCTAGAAAAAACCTCGGAAATTAAAGGAAGAAAAGACCGGAGATAAAAGAGACGATCCGTGAGAGGAAAAGGTTAAAAAATGATGGGATATGTCTTAAAACGGAATATCAGAATAATGACGCATTATGCCAAACAAGATGGTGTACATTAAAATGGCGGCTAGTGTCTTAAAATGGCGACTGTTGCAATAATGGCGGCGATGTATACAGGCGGACGGGAGATGGTGCTAGCGCCTCCAAAAAAGTCTTTTGCGTCCGGGGAACAGTTTTTACAAGTGCAGATACCGTTTAAACAGTAGCCAGGTTCGTCTTCTTCTGAGACACACTCCTGAAAAGAAATAAAGATGTTTTAGTTAATTGCTAGTATTAAGTTTTTTTAGATGAATTTGAAATGTAAATATTGTATAACTGGACTGTGTGTAATATTAATATGTATTGTAATATTTGTTATAATAAACAGTGGTCTTCTGTGAGTCCTTGTTTAATTACAACGTGTCTGGTTAAATTTACTAGGGAAGAAAGGTCGCGGAAAACACATTATCATCTTTGTTATTCGAACTAAGAGGCTACGACTATATCTCGAAATTTCTATAGTGAATATGTGGTTTAAGTAAACACATTTAGATACACAAGTAGTGTAGTACAAAATTAAATATATCGAGTTCTCTTGGGTTGTCGCGATTGTTTTTTTTTATAATATCAAGTGGTGGGACGAACAAGACGTGCGCCTGATGGTAAACTACACGCCTGTCCATGACAGTTGCAGTGCCACTCAGCTCTTTAAATTACAAAGATCTGAGGTACACTGCCATAGCGCCCGTCACCCTGTGACGTAAGTTGACAAGTCCCATGTGCCTGTAATTACACCCTTACCCTTCAAAACCGGAACACAGTAATGCTGACATTACTGCTTGGCGGCAGAAATAGGTAAGGCGGCAGTACTTCCCTGGACGAACTCTTTCACAAGGAGCTCTACTAAAAACATTTTTAGTATTACATTTTCATTTTCTACGTGACACATTAAACTATTTTTCGGATGTACATTGCTTATATTTTATTTTTATTGAATACCATGATTTTACTGCAATGATATTTATATATTTTTTGTGAAAACATAAAGATTAAATAAATACAAAGAAAAATTCTTTTGATTGGCTGGATTCGAACCATCACCTGTTTGCCATACCGGCGCTAACTCGCTTATATTTCTTTTTACAGACCACAAACCATATAAAACGTTTCGAGTCCTTTACAGGTCCCATGGTCACGATCTGTCAGCCATCAGGGACCTATAAAGGGCCTGAAAAGTTGATTTGTTTGCTAAATAAACATATGCCATTTAGATACGAAAGAATAGCTTCATTGTTAAAAATAAAAGAAGGCAATTAAGAGGCCTAGAGGCTCACAGTTATTTCGCTCTATATATTGATATACCTTAGCATTGCCATACAGAGGGGGAACGCTGCCAGCATTTTGGGGACCCTGTCGCGGGGACCCAATAACACTCTAGTTTTCGATGGTTAATATATTAGATTAACCAAATTTTTAAAGTTCCTTACTTAAACCAGGTACTAAAAAAGAGACTTATGGAGAGACTTCGGTGTTCGCCTATACATCACGATAGGTCTATTCAGAAATTAGATGAGCTATTGACATGAAATTTGGCAAGCTTCTTATTGTTGATATTATTATCGGCGAATGATTTATGGAGAAATTTCCCAACTTCAATAATAAAATGACGCCATTCAAAAAGTAAAATTGTTGAGAAACAAACTAAATTAAATAAAAAATTACATATGATTTTCATATCAAATAGAAATGACATGTTTCACATCAACCTACACACGTTATTTTTTTAATCAATCTCGACATTTCGGAAACCATCACTCTTACCTACACGGAACACGGAATAAGCTAGTCAGAAAAATATTGGTTCATACGACATGGTATAAATGGTTCGTACGACACAGGTCGGCAACGAATCTGCTTCGGCGATGAAGCGGTCGTGTCGACGGCGAATCGGCTACGCACGCACGATTTTTTGCTTTAAATCGATTTTTTGGATCTTAGCGGATCATATGCCTTTGAATCGATCCACAGACCGGATCGTATGCTCTTGAATCGATCTCATGAAAATCGATTCAAAATTAATTTGGATAAAAAAAAAAGACGTTCAGATGGCGCAGAACTAGCGAGACTCGCCAAATATTGTACACTTATTGTACTTAGATGTTGCCAAAATGCTTTTCTTGCAGGCCAATATAAAATAGGGGTTCAGAGACTACTTTGTTTCAATTATGAATACGACCCAGACGATTCGATTCGTCTAAATGAAATGAATCGATACAAATATCGCTAGATCGTATGCATTTGAATCGATCTTCATAAAAATCGAAACGTAATGTGCATCCCTAGAATCGGCTTAATACAACAAGTATGGTAAAATATAAAGCCTATTGATAAGTGAGGTTCTTTACGTCACTTAATTATTTTAAGGGTGTAAGTATTTGTAGATTTTTTAACGGATAAGTAATAAGAAATAATTCAAACTGATTTATATTTTACTATAACAAATTCAGGTGCTTTGTTTACCTCATCCACTACACAGTCCTGACCAGGCCTCTTCCTCTGCCAACATCGCTCAGGCGTACCAGTTGCGCGTGCACTGTAGGCGCATTGACAAACACCACCTAAGCATAAAGCAGCGCCAGGAGATCTTGCCTCCGGTTTTCCCGATAACGCATCGCACTGGACATCGTATTCGCATGCCTCTCCCAGATGATGCACAGCTGTAAAATAATAACAATACAAGAAGTTAGAATAAAACCAGTATTGTACGACATAGTTTCTGTACTAAGAGTGTATCACATACTAAGCCATACAGAGTGTAAGCCATACAGGGTGTAAGCCATACAGTTAATTATGACTTATTATCTCATTAGGAACACAACGTAATATATTTGAAAAATTATTTGTATAATTTAGATCCTATTGAATCTAATCTGTACCAAATTTCATTTCAGATTCATGATAATACTATAGAATAAAGCATAAATCATCATGGGTCGGGATCACGACCCCGAAATGATGTAAGGTACAACAAAGAATTACGACCAAACCTAGGATACGCTTGGGCTGTAAAACCATACAATTGTTTTAGTACTGTGGTAGGACTTGGGGTAATGAGTGTACGTGAATATGAACATGATTTTCGTCCTTTCTAACTAACATTCTCTCTATCTTCATTCTAATAAATATTCTAAGTTGTTGTATAAGCATGCTTGTACAAGAAAGCGAACATCCCTTTGCTTCGTCAACAGAAATATATTAATTTTAAAGAGAAAAAATACTACAAAAGCAATAAAATAAATTAACTTCTTACGCCACTACATGGAGCATCAAAGGAAGACTAACATGAGGAATCTGTGTTCATCTATTCAAGTTTATAATGACGTATACAAGGAGTATATGACGTCGGCGTCAAAACGGTTTAAACAATCACTCTAGAATAGTTTAATATGCAAAGGGGGCCATATTTTCAGAAACTCATCACTATGTGGCTAATTTCATGCTGAAATATTGACTTGTTTTCGGTAGCAACTATGGATGCAAGATTTTTTGCTTTGAATCGATTTTTTATTGTAATGTATCATATGCCTTTGAATCGATCAACAGATCGGATCGCGTGCTCTTGAATCGATCTCGAAAATTAATTTCGAACAAAAAAAAATTTTGACACTGTTTTTGGCTTCGTCGTTTACGACTTTCATTTAGAGTGATACTAGCCAGTGAGAAATGACATTTAGATTGCACAAAATTAGCGATAACCACTAAATAATGTAGAATTAATGTACGGACAACGGCACACCAGACTACACATTTTTGTTCGAAAATCGCCTCCAGTGCAACGAAACAAGATACGTCAATGTGTAGCTTGATGTGCTGGGGTGTGTACATTAAGTCTACATTATTTAGTACATAGATGTTGCCAAACTGCTTTTCTTGCAGGCCAATAAACAATAGAGGTTCATAAAGAGACTGTTTTGTTTAAATTATGAACATGATCTAGGTGACTCGATTCGCCCGATTCGATATTGTTGGATCGATTTACTTAAAAATCGTATGGAAAGGAATCGATACAAAAAATCGCTAGATCGTAAACACTTGAATCGGTCTTCATAAAAAACGAATCGTAAAGTACATCCCAAGTTGCAACCAAGTGTAACGTACGACACACTGAAATAACAAATGCAATTGAAATAAACAGGATGTTTTTAAAATAATAATGTAACCTGTTTCCATTTGAGCCTACTAAGTAGCAGCAATGATAGCAGCAAAAAGTTTAAGTAATTAATTTAATCATGTTGCGCTTGATTCCATCAAGAATTCTGATAAGCTCGCTTGTTTAAAGTTCTTTTTCACCTCACTAGCTCGGAAAGGCTTTCTCATTATAAATCTGCGCGTAAAATCGTTTATGCGCTAGCGTGGAAAAGGTTTTTCGAATTCGAACTTGACGATATTGACTGTGGTGCACCTTTTTTAATATAAATCCGTTGGTATATTTTATTCTTAATAATTATTGACATTAAATTGACAACGATAACTAATTTTGTTTATTAAAACTGATTTGTTATAGTCCAACTGTTTTTTTACATCTACCATTTTCCTCACTATAGGGAGGTGAAAAGTTGTGTGTTTCGCTCGGCAGCAAAGTTGTTTAACGTCTCGTGTCTTGAAACCCTCGCTACGCTCAGAATTCTACTTTTCATTACATTTTTTTTTCGCTTGCTCATGTTTCAATACAACAACTTTACAGCTTTGCATAACAAATAACTATTTGTGTGTATACAAAAGATATCACTTTTTAGATGTGACACTAAAATTAAATTATAGTCCATGAATTGCATGCTGAAGCTAGAAACGGGAATAAAATAAAAATCAGGTCAAGAGATGCCTTAGTAACTACTCTGTTTAAAGTACCGTACTTACACCGTATTTCGGTATATTTCCTTGGCTTATGTTGAAAAAGAAAAGACAAGTTATGGTCAAACCCCACTTATCATCAGCGCTGCAAAGCGACTTATACACCAGAAGCAATTTTACACACAGTGGCGGATTTGTCCCAAGTCCCAGTAGGCCCGGGCCTAAGGAGACCAGATTTTAGGGGCGGCCAATTGTGAGAAAAAATTCACTGATGATAACAAGAAATAACTCAAAGTACCTAAAAATATTCTAAGGGCTCACGCACATTATAGCGGGCCGCACTGCACCTCATAGTATAACAATGTTCTTTCTAAATCACTTTCTTACATTTTATATATATAAATAAAACCTAAAACCGTTTTAAATGTTTTATTTAAATCTGAAACCTCTGAAAATATTAAAAACTAGCAGCTATTACAGTTAATTAAATTTCTGAATAGATTTCGATAAAAGTTGGCAATAAAGTTAATTCATTATGTAGTCTACCGGTATATGATGAGTGCTGAAAAAGCGGCGGCTGGTACTGACTACGTGGACTGGGGCCTAGGGTGGCCACGACTGCAAATCCGCCACTGCGTACGCAATGAGAAGACCTGCTTTTAGTTTAGACACGACGCTCATTCGTGCCGATAAGGTGGTCTCTGATTTAAACATTGTTAGTTTATAAATACATAAGCTGTCAAATATTGAATATATACATACCTTCAACGCAAATCTTGCTGTCGTTGTGGGCAACCCAGTTTTTGCGGCATTGGCATGTTCCTTGGCACTCTAGACCTGCCCCGGCGCACTGCAGCTGGTCTTCACAGGGCCCGCCAAGTCCAGAATCTCGGACGCATCTGGAAGATTTAGTATATTTTTATTTTATGATATTTAACGGACTCAAGGCCGTTCAAGAGGTAGCTCAAAACAGAGAAATTTTGGGGATTGATAGGGATCCTATAGGCGTTTGTAATTTATTTATTTCTCCTAATTATGTGATTTAGTCGGCGTCGGTTAAATAGTTTCAGCTAAGTTTAATGTATGTATTGCTTGTGATACAAAACTGGGGTAATATCGTTGAGATAATGGTAGCTCGAATAACCGTCTCCTAACAATTACGAAAAAAAAATTACGTAATTTCACGGATTCCTAATAAAGAAAACTGCTGCTCTACTGCCACTAGACTAGCAGTGGCGAAAGGTCCATTTAACGCAATTTTTAAATTTTTTTTTTAACGATACAAGCGTACATATCGTCGCGTCAATAAAAGGTCGAAGCGACACGCCTGTTCATAACAGTTGCAGTGCCACGCAATGCTTTAAATCACAAAGAGGGACACTGCCACTACGTATGTCACCTTGAGACATAAGTTGACATGCCCTGTGTACCTGTAAATTCACCAACACCCTTCAAAATAGAAACGAAATAATGCGTAATTCATAGCTTGGCGGCAGATATAGGTAAGGCAGTACTTACTGGACGAACTCATTCACAAGAAGCTCTACGGCTACTGACTTTAATTCGGCAAGGCATTGACTTACAATTATATGGACGTCGGGTCCGCGCTAAAAAGTGTCCGAACTTATAGGGCGTTAAAATCGTATACAGAGCGTCATTCACGCTTTAGTCTTCGTTTGTTCGACTGACAGCGAAGCAAGAAAAATTAGACAATACTGCGATGACATTACAATTTAAATTCAACGATTTAGCTTTTTCATATTCCTTTACATGTCACTACGTTTAAATAGGTTGACTTGGGACATTTTTTTCGTGGTTTTTGTATTAGACCCGTCGTCCATTTATTTGTAAGTCAATGCGGCAAGGTCAAAAAAATTCTTCCCTAACTTAGTACTACATATTTGAAAGGGACATTGATTGCAATGCAGCATTTGCTGCATACTTTCAACCTGGGTTTTCCTTTTTCAAATATCCACTTTTCGTCACTGGTGCAAGGTATATAATTATTTTGACGGCCTCTGTGGTCGAGTGGCTTGCACACCGGTTTTCATTGTGTCGCCATCTCTGAGGTCCCGGCTTCGATCCCTGGCCGGGTCAGTGTAGAAAACTAACTTTTGTATATTGTCGCCGGTCTGGGTGTTTGTGGTACCGTTCGTTGTTTCCGATTTCCATAACACAAATGCTTTAGCTACTTACTTTGGGATCAGAGCAACGTATGTTGTCTAATATTTATTTACTTATTGTAATAATACCTAGTGCCATTGTCTCTCGGGCTTGATTGCAATGGACAAGTGCAGTATCCTCGCACGCAATAAGCCACTTGTTCCGGTCCAGTTTCGCCAAGGTAACAGTTTTGATCCACCGTGCATCTCTCACCCACCACTGAAAGGAAAGGGAGATGTGTTAGGTTATTAGAGCTCTAAAATTGAACCATATGTCACGTTAGCAATAAAAAAGTGACTGTTCTTGACAGTAGTCTCCACAAACGTCGGAAATTCATTTACAGATAAGAATATTAAATGAGTTATAGTGATATTGAAAAGTGGATAATTTCATTAAGTATTAATCCAAAGGCTATTATTACAGCTTTTATGTGCTTGAGTTCCATCATATTGTCGATTTTTTTGTTGACCGCAAACTAAAACGTGACAATTTTTGAGATATTATCATAAAAAACCATACCCCAGTTTTAGAATATGGAAACCGTTTAATGATATTTGAACTACGCATCGTTAGGGTAAGTTCCGATAAGTCGAAAACGTTAACTAATTTTAACTGTTCAAAAAAGAATTTTGTCCTGTATCATTTGACCATTTGCCATTTAGCTGCGTTCTAGTTAGTGGACGGCAGTCTTTGTGCGGCCTGATAATCGAACTTTACTTGAGTATTCATATTCGCGGCTTGATGAGGAGTATTTGGGTTGGCACTCCCAGTAAAACTATTGTCGACTGTACAAGGGACTGTTCTGGGTTAAGTTTCTGAAATTAATTTTATTAATCCGGTACTTATAGCACGAGACATCGTTTGAGATCAGGTTATTTGTGTGACTGTTTAGCATATATGATCGTCTTTTAGTTTTTTTTTTCAAATTTCCACTTCTATCATGCCCTGAAAGATGAATTTAGATTTCTGAAATGGGAGAGGTGGTACTCGTTCCCAATAGCACAGCCGACCGGGTTCAGGGACTAAGTTTGAAGAACCGGCTAAATAACTTTCTGCACTTATACTGAAAGCCACGCCACAAAAATCACGTCTTTAAGAGTGGAGTGGAGCGATTTATAGGCGATTGCATCGATACAAACGCGCGGCTGCATCGATACAAACGCGCGGCTGTACCGATACAAACGCGCGATTGCATAGCCGCCTAAAGTCGAGTGTAGACGATTAGCTACTGTATCGCTACTGCATTTTCTTTAAAAAAGAATCATGATGACAATTAGTTTATGTTATTGTGGATGCATGTAAATTTCAAGATTGAATTTATTGATTTATAGGCAATACACTGTGTGGTTTCAGTGCATCAAAATTTGAATCGGAATTAGACCTACGGGTTTTTTAAAAATAATTATAATAGTGACTACTTACGTGCGGTTTCGAAACAGCGAACATCCCAATGGGCCGTGGGAACACAGCGGCAGACGCCATGCTTACACTCCGACTGTGTGCCTAAAATCGCTTGGCACTGGATATTGTGGGTACACTCCTCGCCGAAGTTAGCCTCTGCAATAAAAATACACTTTTTATTCCGTTTTATACATAGACATCTAGGGTTAGATCCCGTATGTGTGTCTTATTTGGGATAGACCATAAAAAAGTGAAACGCTGAAAGTCAAAGCGCAAGCGATTGCCCCTGTAATACCTACATTCGAATGTAACGTAATTTACATTGTTTATTTTATAATGTTAAATAGCATGTATATTATTAAAATGATAATTTGACAGGTGAAAAACCATAAACAACCTAATGTTTTACGAGTCTGAAAACTTACAGCGAATGTTAATGAACGAATTTATTTTTCGAACACGTTTTGAGGGTTGTTATAAAGCCGTTAATTGGTTACCGCCCAGGGTTGCTTATACGGAACAATTTGCTTTCTCTTGTAGGTGGAGCATTGTCTCAATCGTAGTCGGTGTTAAAAAAAAACTGTCCACCAGGGATTGCCAAATTCATTTAGTTTGTGCCATAAGTGTTGTTTTAGGTTTTATATTTTAATTGTTATTTGTTACTACCAGCTATTTAAGCATCATTAATCCAAGGTAATTATTATTAAATACAATTGATTGGAGTATGACCATTATTAATACAAAAGTCGAAAAAAAAAATATTTCGATCCCGCTGGATTTGAACCAGCGTCTTCCAGCAAACCGTGTCAGAAGCATCGAGCATATCGAGTATGATCGATTAAAAAAATGGCGACTGGCAGCGGCGATGGAAGGGCATTCAGGTGGTGTCATTGCGAGGTTGCGGAGCGAGCACAAGGGTGATTTGGAGTGCTTTCGAGTGATAATAGTAAAAGTGTGTTGTCAAACGTTGTATTATTTTAAAAACATTTACATTTGTGTGTATTTGTAAATTTTTGGTACGTTCTTAATCATTTCGGGTTTTGGCAGAATAAGCCGGGGCTATGTATTCCGTAGTTCTCTGAGTTAGATCTCCATTTCCTTTTCGTAACATTCAGAGTCAAATAAAATGTTTTTATTTCTATTTGTTTGCGAAGTACTTTTGTAGCTATGTTTACACTCATCGTTGAAACAATGAAACACAATACATCATGCTAAAATCTCTTTGTTTAACGCAAAGTACATTGCACTTTTTGCTTTCATATAACTGAACAAACATTTACCAGACTGTGATTATCAAACAACACTCTAATCCCTTAATCTTTTAACTAATTTAAACTGTGTCATAACACAGTTCAAAAACATTAAATAAAATAATTAATTCAGAAGTAGATGATTCTCATATGGGGTATAGCGGCAGATGTATAAATCTTACTTGTGTTGCAAAAACGAGCGATTCGTTCTGTATATCGTTTAGAGTCTTGGGCTTCTGTCAGAGAAAAGTTTTAGGAGACTGGTATCATGACTGAGGCATCACAGAACATTTACTCAAATGTCTTGTGTGCCATTAAAACATACACATAATTTCGTTAAGAAAGAAGATGTCCTTAATATTAACCTCAGAACTAAGTCCAAAACACATGGTACCACGATTTCGTTTAACTAAGGGTTTCTTTCCATACATCTTTATCTAATACGTAGTCTTCTATTTGTAATATTTAAAAAAAAAAGTTAAAATGGTTTTAATGTAAGTTTTAAACTTAAGAAATGATAATCTTAATATTAAGTATCATTTTCACCCACAACGGGCGCCAGTCACTCGTAGTCGAAATCACAAAATTTTTTTTCCATCTATAGATTTAATTAGCTCTTATGTAAAAAATAAATAAATTTATCAATTAAGAAATTTTCAAATTCTAACTTCTCATTTCAATTCATAATTTTGAGTGAAGCAAAAATCTTTTTCACACTTTAAGTAATTCAGCCTAAATTGTTTTTGTTTTTGTTAATTGTAACTTCATGACTTCTCAATATTGTCCCCAATATCAATTTCAAGTTTCAATTCAAGCAGTATGGCGCTCACTTAAACTGGAAGCTGCATAAGGAGAAGCAGGTGTAAAAATTTTGTTTACATTCTATTGTGTAAAGTAGTTCAAAATAATATTACACTATTTCATTACTATACACCTTGTTAAAATCTCTAGAAAACTCCATACTTTCGGACCCTGTTAGTCGGATAATAACAGATGGAGTAAAACGACCGCCAATAAGTGGTTACAGAAACGTGGTACGTCCTGTTGTGACATGGATAGACGACATCGACAAAATCCCGAGCTGAAGACAATAGCAGGCTTTACACAGACACTCTATCGCGCGGGATTAGCAACCGTGCGCGATTGAGCGCGCATGTAAAGATGTTGGAAGGAAAAAGGAAAGACGATTAGCCTTTACACGGACGCTCTATCCGTTGTAACAAAAAAGAATATGAGCAATCGCGCGCGAAAGAACGTTAGTTTAACAAAAAGTAAGAGAATGGACACTCTTCGCCCCTCCCTAGATTTAGATACCGCACCACGTCCCGCACATTGACGGTCACATTGACTCAACGACAGCAAGGCCGTCGGCGAGCCATTTTCGCGTCAAGACGGGTTTGATATTTGAATATAGTTTTAATTTATTCATCACGAAACTTGTACGTTAATATATAACATCATTGTACGTTACTATTTATAATGGTCGTGAATTGTGCTGTGTACGGCTTGTACGAGAAAGTGATGGGTAACCCTGTCACTTCATGCACATATTTGCGCGTGTGCAGATAGCGCCATGCTGTATGTAGTAGTAGTAGGTAAGTGACTTTCGACCGTTGTATGGAGTGTCCGGGGTGTGCTACGGGAGAACAATAGCCCAAGTCAAGGCGGATCGAAGCATTTTTTTTTTGAGTTTGTATGACTACAACAATCTAATCAAGTATCTTCACATAAAAATATATTTTTAATAATTATTTAGATCATTTTCGCACTAGGTCCGATTCATATCAGTTCCGAATCCAAGAAATATCACAGGCATCATTTTATCTCTAGGTACACCTAGTATTTTCTCGCATTCGAATCGGACCAGTGCATAAGCGACATCCGAAGTACTAACTGCCTCTGTGACCGAACGGTTACCATCGACTGCATATTTGTATAGTCTACATTTATTTCTCTCGTGAATTTAGGTGTAATTTATGGTTGTCTATGTGTGTGTCCATGGCACCCGCGACACAGGGTTTCCCTATTGCGGTTTTCTAGATTTGATACCGTCAATCTGTCTGATAACCGCTTAATTGTTTCAATAACCTACAATTTGTCCCAATCTCGCTGAGGCTTCCAATCTTGACGTTCGTGGAATCATCGCACTAAACGACAGACCCATATCCACACAAAACTTGATTTATGAATTTTAAGAAGTCGTACCGTGGTAACAAACTTTAGTTGATAATAAGCTCCCTTATAACTTTCAACAACCAACAAGTTTTAAAAGCAGTAGAGCACCATGTCAAGGTTCGTAGAAGTTCGTGCAGGGAAGTACTGTCACCTACGTACGTCCCATTTCTGCCGCCAAGCATGTCATGTGAGCATGCGTTCCAGTTTTGAATGCTAAGGGTACTGGTGAAAGTACAGACCTGGGTTTTGTTGAGGCTGTTACGCATCAGCGGATGCTGATTTTATACATAGCGATTGATGTACATCCTTTCTGAATGTATATGACAAACCTTTCTATTTTCTTTGGTATTGTAATAAAATATGTATTACTTCCATGATTTGGTGACATTTATAAGAATAGAATCAATCTTCATGAAAAATCGTTGTGGAATTTTATCAAAGTTATATTTTAATAACAACAGCAGACCTGCGTTTTCGGCTTTCAGTTTTTTTCTGGAAGTTTTGTGAATTATTCCAGCGTGTCGTTTACATTTTGTCACTACTAGAACAATAGCAAAGAATGTCAGCATCGATGAATGCGGATGCTGGTGCGGATGCGGATATCGTAATTTATACAGATTATCCGATTATCATATCAAATAAAAAACAATTTTCAAAATCAGTCCGCAAGTGACGGAGAATTGGTGACAATGGGACCACCTCGTCCCTTTCAACCAAAGAATTTTCAATATCGGTCCACAATTGACGGAGAAATCGATGAACATACATACAATCATAAAATTCAAATTGTACAACTGTATCAATCGACGTTACGTCCATTTTTGTGTAAAAAATCACGAAAAACAAACCTATACAGCTGTTGAAAATCTCCAACTATTAACAACATACTTTTCACAAAAAAATCACTAAATTCCCTGCATAACAGAAATTCGTAATTGATTGGGAAGCCAGTTCTCAGAACTTGATATACTGCACTAAAGCTTTAGGCGTAAGCTTATTAACAACCCCCTTTCCTCCCGCCTCCCTTCCGTGTTCAAAGCTCAAAGTTCTGTCAAAGCGAGGATAGTATAAAATAAAAGAATGTTTAAAATTTGCCATTTCTGTCACGAGTAGTTTCGATGGCAGGTAAATTCGGGGAAATCTTTTATGATACGAAAGTCCAATACGTTACACTTAAATTCACAATACCGTAACAATTTAGATTTATATTTTTTTATACCTACAGTCGTTTTCAAAAAATCCTATGTTTTGTATCTTGCGTAAAGTTTCGCAATGAAAATACAATAAGTAGGTATGTTACTTCCAAACACAAATATCATAATGCAAACAATGTAGAGTTACCAAAAATGGGAGGCGACTCGGCATTGATAATTTTAAGTCCCCAGTTGTTTATTACAGTGCAAATAGATTACCGGATTTCTACCTAGTTTTGATATATCTAAAATGCTACACATTCATTTTGTGGTGAAAATTGCATTACCTAACTGCCGCTCTAATGGGTCATGATCCATATAATAAACTTCTTCGTAATCAAGGTACGACAGTCAGTTCTGCCACAATGCTCCAGGATGGGCAACTGCAGGGCGAAGTGCCTTGGAGTGCCGAGCTGCTCAGGTCTTCAGCAAACCCAGTAGGGTGCTGAGATTCTTGAAAGAGCTTGGGTGGCACGAGTAGCACCCTGCACCCAGCACACGCAAAATGGGCGCCTGGATGTTGAGTTGTGGGCATCCGTTATACCATATTTTTAGTAAACTTTTAACAATGAACTTTACCAGAATGTTGCTACTGACAAAAATACCTTCGTACCAATGTATGATCCCAAACAGAATTGACATGAACTGGTTTCTTATTTCCCATTATAATCTGGTAATCCTTTTATAAAAGACTACAAATAAATATTCAGACATTTTAAGAAAATCTCAGAAACGAGCTTTTGAAAATGTTCAACAAATTCTCTACAAATACGCCATGTCCATAAAATGCAATATGAGCTTTGCACCTAGGCGGTCGTCATGGAAATGGCCTGGGCTTCAATCAAGCCTCCCCCCTTCCTCCCTCAAAACCCCCCTTTTCCAACAATTTCATCGTCCATACTATTCACCTACCTTCACTGCTAGTGACACCCCCCTCACCCCATTTACTTTGAAGCATCACTTTGGTGTAAACTCCCCCGTATCGCTTTATGAAATTTGGTCGTCCCCCACCTGGATGCACCTACATCCGCCTCTCTTTGAGTGAACTCTATCGCTGTATCTATATGCTTACCTCCCCATGACCCATCTACCTCTCTTGGTACAGCGTGCATTCCGTTTCAGAGTTTAATTTGTGTTCCAGATACTATGTACTCCTATTCAAACAGGTTTCCAATTAACTGAGAACTTTCCCGTATTTTCAGACTGCAGTAGAGTATTTCGTTGAGTTTGCAGGAAATCATTTTGCTTTATGAACTATCGTTGCTCTTCAAAGCAACGTAGTTTGAAAATTGGAATGGTAAATTGAATGAAAAATAAGAACGTCAAGATCTGAAGCTGTAGAGAGCGCTTGTCGGCTTAAGCAATTGCTTTTCTTGCGTAAAATGCATTTATATATTAAGCATTTGCGCTATTTTGATTAAGCAGATATTGTCAACGATTGTAAATTAATCATTCTTCGAAACTTTATTTATGTTACCAAATTCCCCTGTCTTTTTACCGACTGAAAAAAAGTAGGAGGTTCTTATTTAGACTATATTTTTTGTGTGTGTGTGTGTTACGCGATTTCTCAGATTACCGCATTTGTAACCGATTTCGATGTTTATTTTTTTATATAGATTTTAAGACTTTCGTGGTTATTCACTAAATGATTATCACTAATATCAGGTTTCTTACCACGGTATGGCTTTTTTTTTATTTTCCCGATATTTCGGAACGGTTGCACGCTCCATGGTTACGGGTTGACTATTTGATTTTTTTTTGTTGGAAACAGGATACCTCAGTGTCGGTTTCATGTAAATTTGTAGAAAATATTCCACCTCTAAGGTTCGCAAATTGGTGGCGATTTCGCGCACTTTCCGGTGGCAAATACATGTTTTTCTACGAACTTTTGAGGTCGGTTTTTTTATATAAAAGAAGCTATAATTATGATAATAATTTTTTCATTTGCTCGTGTTGCTTGACACTCGAACTTGGACGTGAAGATTTGTCTTTAATGATTGAACAATAAATAACACATTTGACAAAACTAGCCCCAAGAACATGGTCGCTATGAACTATCAAAATTTACCCGCCCTTTTAATGGACAACCCTACATGTAGACATTTGGTCACTTAGTCTCATTATTTATTTGCGCGCTAGTGTTTTCGCACGTATAGAATATGTTGACATCCGCTTCTTCAGTCCCTTCGAGATCATGGACGTTGCATTATATCCGAAACGTCGAGGTAATTAAAAGATATTTCAAGCATGATTGAAACCCGAACTAAAAATCAAATAATGTGTGAAAATCGTGGAAGTTTAAATCTAAGTTCTTAATTTCAAACAAACCAAGAGTGCGTACTGAAACTTAGACATTACTAGTCGCATGGTCACGGCTGGCTGAAATGGTGTTAGTCGTCAACCAGATACGTGGAATGGAACCACCCTATTCTGAGCTATAGTTAAATTGGTTGGCATAATTACTTGATGACAAATACCATCGCACTCAACCGTGACCGTAGACCCGCAAAGAGCTCGACACGTTGGTTGTATTTAAAAAAAAGCAATGTAATCTTCGTCCAATAGACAGGCTTTATTCACAGTGCGTTCTCACCTTTTAAACACGATTTATGAGTGCTGTTCACGGCTGTATAGACGTAACCTTCCTTGCAGACGCAGTAGGTGCTCACTCGGCAGAAAGCGTTGTCGGGACAATCCATATCCACCTGGCAGTTGTTGCTCGTTCGTCCTGCAAAAATTTCAATATTCGCTTTAATGAGGTTTCGGGGAAAATTTTCAGTTAGTGAACAATATCATTGCTAAATTAAATGTACCTGTTATGTTACTATATAAAGTTTTTTGGCTAGTCCATTAGTTAAACGTTTCTCTCAAGGATTAGATTCGAAATGAGGTTATCCGACAGAGAACCAAGGTCATCGACGTAGTTGGTAGAATAAGCAAACTGAAGTGGCAATGGCATATCGGTTGAAGAGCTGATAATCGACGGGGAAAGCGAGTTGTTGAGTGGAGACCACGGCTGGGCAAACGAAGTCTTGGACACCTTCTCGCTAGATGGAATGACGATTTGTGAAAGACTGTTGGTAGCAAATGGATCGAGGAATGAAGACCGGGCAAAATGGTCCACATTGGGAGAGGACTATGTCAAGCAGTGGACTGTAGCTGATGATGAAAATTTAGTTACGTACAGCTTCCGTGAAAGAGTTGTACTGCTACGGAATATTTATAATAATAATAAGACACATATTCATAAGCACTAAAGCGGACTGTATAAATGGGATTCGGGTGAATTGAAGAGTGAGCAAGACCAAAGGGAATGGTAAGTACATTGGTTGGTTCAGAGTAAAGTCGTCGTGTGTAACCACTCGTACAGTTACAAGCCAACAGGAAACAGTAATACCAATAGAAAGAAAAAGGCGCCAAAAACAAGTAGGTACATTTAAATTTAGAATTTCAATATAAAATTAACGTGCTAAAAAGACTAGTTTAAGATTTATAGTGACTGCTGAGGTTCGCTACAAGCACATTTACAAAAAAAATGGTTAACTAAGTACAATTTCGAAAATGTAGTGGAATCTAGTGCTAATGATAAGTATGGAGCCCGAGCATTACATGATGTTGTTATACCTACCCGTCATGTTGTCGTGAGTTGTAAATTTTGTTTCTTTACTTTCTTGAGATCGTGGATGAACGTACGCACCTACTCATTATGTGAGAGAATAAGTACAGAGTTGTTTTTTAAATGCTAAGGTTTGATATTCAACGTTCGTTAGACGGCTTTGTTAACTTTGAATTGAATTTAGGTAGCGGTAGAGGTCCTTGTGAAAGCATTCGTCCAGAGACGTATCTAATGCCATTTTATCTACTCACGCCGCGAAGCAGTAGTGCTCAAATTCCTGCGTTTTGAAGGGTAAAGTGCTTGAGAAAAGGCTCATGAGACTTGTCACCACATTATCTCAGGGTTACGCGTGTAGTGGCAATCTTTGCGATTTTAAACTCTTAGGGTAGGCCAGTTTAAGGGATTAAACTAGGCAAATTGATTGTTTTCACGCAGATTGATTATTTTATTAATAAATGTCATAAAATCATGGAAGCAATATTTTATTGCAATACCAAAGACAACAGAAAGCTTTTTCATGTAAACAGATTCAGTAGGGATGTAGGTTTATTTTTGACCTTTTTTTAATACACAAAATCAGCTTCCACTGATGTGTAAAAATCTGCATCAGCGACGACCCTGCTTTATATCACCATTTGGACCTACTTTTCACATTATTTTATGCAAAATTAAGAAGCAAACTTTTATCAAAGTGAAAAAGTAGTAATGTACAAAAGGTTCAAAATGAAATGGTACAAAACTAGCGAACCATAAAATTGAATATAGTACAAACAATACCTTGTTAAATTGTATACTTCTCATTGTCTTTGTCTGAATTTAAACAAATGCGTTCAATTGTTTTCAAACTAGACATTTGCGTACGTACGTATATTTGTTTAGTATTTTGCAGTAGTTGTTTTACGATAAAGAGTTGTTATGCGGAAGGTTGAAGAACTACACGAGTAACTTCTACCTATATTTGTAATTCTCAACGGTATTAAGGACTCTAGTCAGTTTTAAGTGATAAAAACTCAATAATGACGAATGACGTCATCTAACGAATTTGTTGACTAAAACATTTATAGTCCACATGTATAATCCATAAAATTAACATTAGAACTAAGTCCAAATTCATGGTACCACGATTTCGTTTGAGATTATTGTTTCTTAAGTCAAAACTTACATGAAAATTTTAATTGAAAAGCCATATTACAAAATGTAAGACTATATACATGTTAGATGAAGAAACCTACATTGAAACGACATGGGTGGTTCTTCTCCGGGAAGTCAGCACAGTGAATGAGCAGTAGCTTAAAAAATTACGTTTTCAGGTGTAAATTTATTTTACCTACGGATAAAATGTTTTTTTTTTAACTTTGACTGTAAAACTACTGCATTTTAAGTTTTTTTTTCAATGCCAAGCATTGACTTACAATTATATGGACGTCGGGTCCGCGCTAAAAAGTGTCCGCACTTGACACTACACTCCGCTTTAGTCTTCATTTGTTCTACTGACAGCGCGATACTGCGATGACATTACAATTTAAATTTCGAATAGGTTGACTTGGGACATTTTTTTCGTGGTTTTTGTATTAGACCCGTCGTCCATTTATTTGTAAGTCAATGATGCCAAGCTTTATTTCAATCGATTCTCGTGTTCAAAGTGCTTACGAACAAAAGATCGTGTCGGCACTGAAATTTTTATAGATTATTAATACAACCAAGATAACCATGTTTACATGCAATTAAGTGTACATTGTAATGATAGAGTGCAAACTAGTTACCACTTTATATGGCCCGTCAGTGTATCTATGTATATTAGCGTGTGTTGAAGGTTAATTTTAGTGGGTCGTTTTCAAGGCTGGACTATTATTAAAACTGGTTAGTTAAATTTTTACTTGGCATTTAAATTTTTGAGTGTTATTTTCTTTACCTTTTCTTGGACTCATTTGGGATTCAAGAGTGCGGCTTGTATCTTGGTACTAAACTAAGTTGATAATTATGATCATAAAGAATATTGTGTAAAAAGTTATTACCTATAAATTATTTATGTATTTGGCACATATTACGGCATTAAGAACAGCATATAAAAATTAGCTTAATAAAAAAAAAACTGAGAATATAAAATAGTAACATCTATATTTAAATAAATAAGACATGAAGTAACAATTATATTAACACCTTTTAACACGCACTTACAGCCTTACTCAATCTTAATTGAAAAAATCGGAATTAAAATAAAGCAATTTTTTTTAAATTTTGTCGCGAAGCATAAAGCCTGAAAATTTAAAAATTGTGACACTAATTAAGTGAAAATTTAATAAATAATAATTAGTTATGCGACTCTGCAAAGGTGTTGTTGGACGCGGGTGCTTGCATTGAAACCTGAGCATGCGATGGAATCTAAAATTGAAAAAAATTTAAAAATGGAATCCTTAGCGTAGCGAGGGTTTCAAGCCACGACACGCAAAACAACTTTGCTGCCGAGCGAAGCATACAACTTTTCACCTCACTGTACCGAGGAAAATGGTAGGTGAAAGAAGAACAGTTGAACTATAACAAATCGGTTTCAATAAACAAAACTAGTTATCGTTGTCATGTAAACAATGATAAGAATATAATATACCAACGGATTTATATAACTTAAAGAATGTACGACAAATCACGTAGTTGAACATCAAATGTTTTTTTTTTCATCGAAAGATAAAGGTAGTTGCACCACTGCACCACAGACTATCGTCAAGTTCGAATTTTAAAACTCTTTTGCGCGCAGATTTCAGATTTACCTGTAATATACATTTCTGTACCTAGCTCGGGCACCAGTCTCTCACAAAACAGTTTGACTAATCTTCGTTTTGTCCGCCTGTTTTGTGAAGAGAAAATGAAGCCACATTCAATTTAATTTCATTGCTAATGGGAAAGCAAGACTATCCGAGCTAGTGAGGTGAAAAAAAATTTGCACAACAAGTTTACGAAATTTACAAGTATGCAAAATCAACCTCGAATAACTCTAGAAACCTGTATTAGTAGGAAATAAAAACAAATGTATGAACAAAATGACAGTAGATTAAAGTTTTTATTTCCAAATTAGACCTAAAATGGAAGAGAAAATAAACAGCCAGATCTTTGAAAAAACTCTGCATTATTTAGAGTATTGTAGTAGTGTTCCGCCAGGGGTACATTAACACATATATACGGCATTAGCGATAAAAAAATAGATAAATAATATTCAATTTGATTATCACTAATTACAGATTTCTTACCGTGGTATGAGTTTTTTTTATTTTCCCGATATAACGATTACGCACTCTATGGTCGACGGGTCGAAGAGCCTATGCACACGACGTCTTTATACGCGCCGACAGAAAGAAGAAAGAAAGAAATCTGTTTATTACACAAGCACAAGCACGTATGTAAACAAAAGAACAGAGGAACAATAATAATAATAATAATACAAAATTAAAACAATTCACATAATTATGCAGTACATAATTCACCGTCATGTGTGTCGCAACTGGTGCAATCGGAACCTCCTCAGCTTTAGTCACAAACGGTTTTTTTTTTTAAAACCGTTTCGTGGCGCTGATTTTGAGCAAGCCCCTATGTTCGCGCATTTTGATAAGACATAATTTTAGTTTTGTTTGTTAATTTCGGTTAATTTTTGAAATGAAGCAAGCACGTGAAATTATAAGTGTAAACTCTAGTGGACTATATAAACTTCTTGCTTGCAACGCGATGTTTGCACGTGTTTGAATCTATTCGACTGTTTACGGCGCCGTATAAAATTCGCCGCGTTTATAGGCTCTATGACACTTAATAGCGAAATAGTGTAGACAGATATGTCTGATGTTAAAGCCATCTGCAGCTAGCTAATCAACCCGTAACCATGGAGTGTGTAACTCATAACGTGGCAAGAAACCTGCAAATTAGTAATAATAATTTAGCGAACAACCACAAAAGCCTTAAACTCTAATATTCTACTTAGCTTTAACGACACAAATGTAATTATTACCTATCTTTAAGTATTGTGGTTGTTTCCCTGTTTCCAATTTTCCATCAAGCCGTTCAATGTGTGCGTGAACAGATTAGCAATGTCGAATTAGCACGGCGAATGGATTCTTATTCTAGAATTCTATACCTAATGACCATATTAGCTATACTAGTAATTATACGATAGTTAATTATACTTCGCAAGTAACATGTTGGCTGCGCTGTAGGTGAACGCGTCGTGCAAACGTAGTAACTATTTATTGTCTTGTGTTGGGTACAAGCAACCAGAAAATGTGTGCGTATTTTCATACAATAATTAACAATATATGAATTCGACCAGAAACAGATTGATAATAAAAAGTTTTCGATGTAAGACTAGAGAGCCTGATGCTGATTTGGTTGATTTCTTAGATTTGGTTAGTCTTTTTTTATGAAAAATAAGTGCGCATTTGATCTCCATGTCACCTGATGGAAAGTGATAATGAGGTCGATGATGTAGAATGCACACCTTAATGCCTATTCACTCTCGCCTTGAAAAAATCCAAGTTCCAACGCTCGGAGAATAAGTCCGCAGGTAGGGAATTCCATTTTCTACCCTCTCGCCATATAAATGTGTAAGCGAAACGAAGCGAACGACAGCGCGAATCCTGGGAATATTCACAACATATGGGTGGAATCTCAGCCCACGTCTAGTCTCCGATGATGGAAAGGGGAAGCGGAATCAAATAATGCAATTCCATCGCACTCTCTCCGTAATATATCTTGTAGTATACCGATAAGCAGGAAACTTTACGGCGGTGTTCAAGGCTCTGCAGCTTCGGGGTCGTGCGCCTGGTGGTAAGCGACATCCGACCCATAACAGTGCCACTCGGAACTTTAAATCGCAAAGTCTGAGGGACACTGCAATTGTTCCTTTCACCCGGAGACAAGTTGACGAATGCCATGTACCTGTAATGTCAACTGGAACGCACCAATGCTTACATTACAGCTTGCCGGCTGAAATAGGTAAGGTGGCAGTACTTCCCTGGACGAACTCTCTCACAAGGAGGCTCTACTGCCACTAAAAGTAAGTATTGATTGGCGACGTTGTCTGCGTCGAGGAATAATCACAATCAGCAAGCAAAATAAGTGTTTCTTCATTGACATTCATCGTGACACTGACAGAACACTCGGGAATCAAGTATCGAAAGAGTGTTGAGAAAAAATCACTGTTGACTGTCTCCGATTGCCGTCACCGGACACAGTAACCACGGTTTCCTGTGATGGTAACCTTCGTCGGTAATCAAAAGTGTCTACGTTTGCACAGCGCGACAGGTTAGGAATTTTACTGTTTTCAAACTAATTTATGGTGTTTTTAGACTGCTTTGATCATTCAAAGCAATCTAAAAACACCATAAAATAGTTTGAAAATAGTTTGAGGAAATTAGCCAAATAGAAGCATTAATTTTAACAAAACTCAAATACAAATCGTACACTTGAATCGTCATATTGATTAAACTCTGCTGCTCATTAGTAAGGCAGATTCCCCTGAGAAGCACGAGCAAGAAACTCTAGGGGTTGCTCTTTGTAAATATAAATTTGAATACATTCCTATTTACAATATTTATTTGAAACATCCGTATGTCGAGATTACCTGCAAGAACTAAACGGGTTTCTACCATGGAATGTGTCATCCAAGTACGCAGAAGCTGTATAATAAACCTTTAGTACAAAGTTTTTGTTTCACTATAGTTTTAAACTCGTAAATGGCAAATTTCGAATATCAACCGGAATCTTATTACAGAAGCGTATACATTGCCCCTTAAATGAATTTCTTATTTAGTGAAGACGACTGTTAAGTAGTTTATTTTTAACCCTGAACAGCCTCCGTGGCTGAAAAGTTACCATGCCAGGCTGCCACGCAGAGGTCCCAGGTTCGATTCCTGTGCCGGGAGAAAAATTTGTATGGCCTACAAGTATTTCTCTCGTGAGTTTGGGTGTAACTTATGGTTGTCTATGTGTGTGTCCATGGCACCCGCGACACAGGGTTTTCCTACTGCGGGGCTATGTTGAGTGTGTGCGTTATTATTATTATTTAAAACAATGTAGTAATAATATCATACTGAACATATGCTGAACATAGACCCCCCCCCCCCCCCAAGATTGCCAGACTAGCCGGTCGGACGCAACGTGCATCCATCGGTTACCCCCGCCCTTACCAGGTCATCCGTCTGTCTAGTAGGGGGCCATCCCACTGAACGCCTTCCGGTTCGTGATCTCCATTCGAGAACTTTTCAGGCCCAACGGCGGTCAGTTCTAAGATCTATGTGCCCTGTCCACTGCCATTTCAACTGTGAATTTCGTTCTTCTACGGATCTCCTCATTTCTGATACGATCACGTAGAGAAATGCCGAGCAATGCTCGCTCGTGACTCGTTGAGTGATTTTCAGCTTTATAAGTGGCAACCTCTCAGTTCTCATCGATCGCTGGCAACACGCACTGCTCGAAGACTTTTGCCTTCAAGGACTGCGGTATTGCGGACTAGAAGAAGTCCCGGATCTTCCCGAAAGCTGCCCAAACGAATTGGATTCGACGATTGACCTCTTCCTCGAAGTTGACTCTTTTTGATACTCGTCAATAACTTCGATGTTCCCATTGTTAAAGAGTAGTAACAATATGCAAAAAATATTTTTACTGTAAACTGTATGACATTTAGAATAAGGTTATTTATGATAGGACTGGCACGTTCTCTAGAACAAGAGACCTAAAATTAAATTAAGATTTTAAAAAATATCTTGGATCGGCGAAACGAGATCTGTAACCACCTCTAATATTTTTTTTATATCCTACTTAATTTCATTGTTAAGCAAGGTCAGCGTAATCGACATGTTCCAAAGGAAAAACATTTAAGTGCCAATATTTCGAAAGTTGCCAATATGTAAATGCGGTAGTTATGACAAGGCGAACAGTATGGGGGTAGCAGATGGGTTATAATAGCTTTATGATAATAGCTTTTCATAATAGCTTTTCATAGGAAAAGAAAGTAAGGGTTAGCGTAGTTTCGATTTTCCGCAGTCAGGTACACAAATGCGGGTCGAATCGATTCTTTGATCGATCTGGTATCGTGAATCGATTCGCGTTCGAATAACGGTAACATTATGAGACTTGAGGTACGATATTGTTGTCATTAGTGATGGTTGTTTTGCGTAAAAGGAATCCCAAGGTTCATTTGCGATAAGAAAAATGGATTGTAAATAGATATGAGTTTGGGAAATCGGATCTAAATCGACTTGGTTAGCCATGACCATGGTAACATGGAACATGTAAAGGCCCGAAAGGTGACCATGTGATATGGAAATGGCCCGAAACCTTGATTTATTTGAAAAAGCAAATATACAAGTTTTTTTCCGGAAAATATTATTTCATTATTTTAATTTTCAAAAACATTGTGTGCTTATACTTCACTCACTAAGTCTATAGACTTTTGTAAAAGAGACTCCAAAGCTTCAGATTTGTTTATAATTACACGTTAAAACTTTTTTATCACCCAGACCTGATCTAATTTAGAAAGCTCGTTGCCCAAATCCTTTGGGCAAATCCGGGACCTCCTTATCTACTATCCATAGTGCAGACCACTAGGCCGCTGAGTTCGTCAACATATTTGTAATTGTAATTTTATTCTAGATAGTAGAAGAAAAACGGAAATGTTCAATAATGATGTTACAAAAGCAGACATCTTTATACAAAGGGCCATCAATTTTACGAAATCAGGCTTCATCGAGTTTGAAATGATCAAAATTGTTACGACCGCAATCAAAATTGCCCAATTGTATCGAGTAGCTGCATGATGGTTCAAACGTGAACAATGAATGACAGACGGAATATTGGAACAATAAGGACTAACAATGCAGCTTTGAAGATGGCGTTCTAATTTGTTAGCACTGTTCGGAATGCGCATTGACACAATGATATCGTATAAAGATACAAGGGGCTGAGATATATCAAAGGCTTGAACACTAGGACTAAAGCTAAGGTGATCAGTAGCAGCAGAGCTCTTGTGAATCGTCCAGGGAAGTACTGCCGCCTTACCTATTTCCGCCGCCAAGTAGTGACGTGAGCATTACTGGGTTTTGGTTTGCTAAGGGTACTAGTGCTGGCTTGAGATTTGTCAGCTTATGTCTCAGGGTGACGGGCGCAGTGGTAGTGCCTCTAAGACCTTATTAAAAGCTATTTAAAGCTGTAAGTGGCACTGCAACTGTTATGGATAGACGTGTTGCCTATCACCAAGAGCACATTCATATGACAGTTTTAGAAGCCTTTTGGTTATCATATTCTAACATTTATATTTATTTTTTAGATTCGACTTCGGATCATTTTTCTTCTTTACTAGTTTCATGTAGTACGTCGTTCAGTTATAAGTCGTTTTTCCTGCTAATAGAATGGACAAAAAATTCTTTTGACCGTCGCGTTTAGACAAAATTATTCAGAAAATAATGATAATATTATGCACGCGTTGATTGCTTCTTTAGCTCAGACTGAAACGGATGTTTTCTTTTGAATTTTTAGTATTGTTCATTCAGTTATTTGATAGCCTTACTAACTTAATATATTTAAAAGGCTTTAAATAACTTAACAGCATAGTATAATGAGAAAAGCATATATTATTATCGTACACAGCGCAGCTTGTATGAGTGCGATCGATGCAAACGCGCGTTCGTAAAACGCGAGATTACATCGCTACACTTGCTATTTACAGGCGATTGCATCGATCCAAACGCGGGATTGCATCGATACAAATGCGCGACTGCATCGATGCAATCGCCTAAAAATCCCAAGTGTAGCGATGCAGTCTCGCGCTTGTATCACGTTTCTATCGCTGTTTAAAATCGCGCGCGTGTAGGTTGACGATTAGCGACTGCATCGCGTTTGCATCGCTGCTAAGAGTCACCGTGTGTAACCGGTCTTATGTGTCTGGTGGTTTGCAGCAACGTGACTTGCTTTCATTGTAAGCCACCTTGCAAACCAAGGCTCCCTATAAGGAAATCTTGAAGATGTATTGGAACATTGGTG